TTTTTGACATTCAGTTCTTGTTTTAACACTAATGAAACAATTATCGTCCGAAATGCACACAAATTTCTAACAAATTAAATACACAATTAGTTTAAATAGATTTGTATTAAAATAATTAATACAAACCATTGATTTGAACGCATTTCGTCTAAAGAAGGCTTTGCAAGACTGGCAACAAATTGCACCAAAATTTCGGCCTTAAATACAAAATAAAAATTTAAGAATTTATTTAAAGGTTTGATTTAAATGTAAAAAACAATACTTACAAAAAGCCTTATCTCCGCAAATCTCACACACTTTCGTCTGATTATTGATTTTCATTGAAGTATAAAATTATATAATGTAAACATTCAACTGATTTATAGTAACAGATTATTTAATTAGTTAAATTATTTTCAAATATATTAATTAATAATAATTTTATTAATAAATGGTTTTTATTCAATAAAGTATAAAATTAGAAAAGATGATAAAGCAATAATGAAACTGGAATTTATATAAAGTTACAACATAAGTGAGTGGATTTGTTGCTAGTTGATTATAAAGCTCTATTAATTTAATTGTATTGTGCACTACGTCTATGAGATAACATCCAATCTTTACGCATGTATTCTGTGACTATTGTAAAATCACAAAAGGCACTTATGATAAACGGTATTAATTATAATTTTTATAATTTTAACTAATTTTGTTATTAATTTTGTAAATTCTGTGTTAAAACTATTTTAAGATAAATAGATAATAAATAGCAGTTTTAAATCATGTTATATTAATATTATTTTGTAGATTGATAGCTTAATTAAATAAGTAATAAATTTTAACATTTATATGCCTATTTTAACGTAGATAAATTACCTGTACCGGTGATAAGCATTGTTCTAATAAACATCGATATAAATAGTTTTGATACCTATTAACTTTAACGATTAAACTTTTACTTTTTATTATAAATCGCATAATAAAAGAGATTAGATGATCATGACCTAATGATTTAAAAACTATCTACAGTAATATTTCAAACAATAGATATTATTATTAACAAAACATGATAATTTAAAAATAAGTAAGTGTACATAAGACATTTCAATTTGATAATACAATCTAAATTCTAGGTAGAAAGGTTGTTGGTGCACTTTGTAAATTTACTTTGTAAATACTTAATTTGTTATATTCAATTAACTCAAAAAGTGTAAAATAGTATAAGTTTGAAAACATTGTATAATATAATATAAACATTGTTTTAATAGATTTAATCCAGTTTTAAATCATATAAATCTCTAATGAGTGGTCCGTATAATTCAACTCGATTTTGCATCTCTTCTGTATTTCTTCTCTGGATTTCATTTGATATTTCCAAGTCTTTCAATGAAATCATCAGTTTTTGTACTTTTAATTGTGATTCCGATTCTGATCCACACTTTAATAGTAGATATCTTTGCAGTAAATATATATACAGTTGTCGTTCGAGTCTAACAAACAATTCAATTAATAACCAATATTTAAAATAACAACTCTACACAAAACTTACCTAATTATAGTCCTATTAATAAGGTTTTCTCGGTTTGGGTTAAATAAGAGTATCGCTGATAACTGTTATAAATATGATTAAAATTAATACATTCAAACAGTTAACTTTAAAATACTTGTTAAATAATATACCAAGTTTAATACAGTTAGATCCCATTGCCATTCAGGTAAAACTTTATTCATAAATCCCATGTATATGTTCATGACCAATTGGAACCAACCAACTGAATTTAATTTTGTCAATGTTTTCCTAGTAAGAGCCACCGTATTGTCATTATCCTAATTGAGGCAAATAAAGTACAAATATAATTTATTAATTGTAACTTTAAGTGATATTTCCAGCTTAATTTAATCTCAGTTGTAATACTCACTAATTTGTACATGATCGTTTGCGTACTTTCATTAAAACCAGGCAAACATCTGACGTCTATTATTTCATTGCAACCATATTTAAAAAGCCAATACTTGTCTTCGGGACACATATCCCGGAAACCACTTATACTTTTGGCAAATACTATGACATTTTGTATATCATTTTCTGACATTTGTATCAATAGGCGCCTTAACTCAGATAAATCATTGATTTTATATATATTTTTACTCAAAGGACTCATGAAAACAGTGGACGCAGTGATCACTTCAGAGATGCGTTGAAACTCCAGTTGTTTTAAGCCGTTATAATCGGTGAGGGGTTTGGATATCGGGGGTAATGATGTGTTTATTGTGTTGATATTAACCACTGTTTGTGTGAAGACATCATTACTACTATCGGTATTACAATCACTATCAATGATATCATCGATCAGTTCCCATATATCCTCTTGACTTTCATTAGAAAGTAATGTCAAACTATTACTCGTAATAGTATTGTCACTACTATTTGTTTGCGAATTACAATCTGACTTTTCTAACTGTGAATTTGTTGTAATTTTTTTCTCATCCCTTCTCTGGATCAAATCCTGTCAATTAAAATATCATAATGTAATAAATATTGATATTAATCTAGTTAATTGTAAATAAACTTACCTGTATCATTCCCACTTTAAAGCACTTTTCAATTCTGCATTTTTGGCATTCAGTCCGAGTTTCAACACTTATGAGACAATTATCGTTTTTAAGGCACACAAATTTCTATTCAATTATATAATTAATTAATTAATTATATTTTAGAAATACAAATATTTTATACAATACCTTATAATTGAATGCATTTCTTCTGAAGAAGGCTTTGCAAGGCATACAACAAATGACACCAAAATTTTTGCCTTTAATACGGATTTAATGCAATTAAAAGTAAAAAATTTATAATAAAAATGATTGAAATAAAAGTGAAAATATTTCTTACAAAAAGCCTTATCTCCGCAAACTTCACACACTTTGGTATTATTGTTGGTTTTCATTGCAGTATTAAATTAAATATTTATAACATTTAATAAAATCACTTAATTTTTCATGTTCAATAACAAATAATTTAGTTTAAATACTTTTTAATACGTTATATAACAATAATTTTAAATAATAAATGATTTAATAAATAATTTTATGTTACAAACTACAAAAACCTAAATAAAATATAAACAACTATTTGTATTTATAATCTAATTGAGCCAATATGTAACTAGATGATATTACAAAACTATAGGTGAAATATAGAACTTTCAATCTTTTAATTATACGTCAATCCGAGTCTTATCGAGTCTTAACGCATGTATCTATGATTGTCGCAGAATTAGACAAAAAACACTTGTGATAAAAGTAGCATGATTTTAAACACCAATTCAACTTAAATTCTATACATTTTATAAATTTGTAACTAAATTTTATTTTAAAAATTATTAAAAACTGTTAATATGAATCCTTAAATAGATATTCACAATTGTTAAATTTTACAAATAATTTACGAGTTATTGTTATAACTTAATTTGTAAGCTACCATAAATGATAAATCAGTAATTTTAACTTTTGCGTACGTTATCATAATTACAATTATTGATAAGTATTTTCCTAATCACCAGACATTGAGTTAAATATTGTGATACCTATTTATCACACCATTTACTCGTAAATCTTAATATATTTGTGGAATAAATAGATTTTTATCTAGAACAATATACTTCAGTCATTACTATATTCAATGTACCCACAATCTATCAAATAAACACAACTTAACCTACATAATTATAAATACTGGAAGGTTAAATAATTTCATGTAATATAACAATCTGGAAATCAATTTTATCGCTGAACAAATAAATATTATTATACTATTGTACTTTATTTGATAATGTTATATTAAATTAGCAACAAAAAAGTAATGTGAAATATTCTTAATACTTTATTTCAATATTAATTTATGAATGTTATAATAGTTTTAAATTGAAACTTTCAATAGTTTACTAGAGTTTCAAATCATATAAATCGATACAAAGAGGTCCGTATAAATCAACCGCTTTTTTCATGGGGTCTATAGCTTCAGGTGTTCTCTGAATTTCAGTCATTATTTCCAAGTCTTTCATTGAATTCATTAGTTTTTGCACTTTTGGTTGTGATTCCCATTCGGACCCGTATTTCAATAGTAGATATCTTTGCAGTAAATATATATACAGTTGCTGTTCGAGTCTAACAAACAATTAATTATAAACATTTAATATCACTATTTTATAACTAAAAGCAATAAAACAAACCTAATTATATCCCTATGGATAAGGTTTGGTCGATTGGGGTTGAATAAGACTATCGCTGATAACTGTTATTAACATATACAAATGTATAAAAAAAATCATATAATCATGTTTTTATAACTATATAATAGACATAAAATTAATTAAATAATTTACCAAGTTTAATATAATTAAGTCCCATTGCCATTCAGGTAATACTTTATTCATAAAACTAATGTATACATTATTAAACAACAAATACCAATCGGGAGTACCTAAGGATGAAAATGTGTCAAAATTGGCCACAAGTGTATTATCGTCATCCTATTTAACGCAAATAATGTATGATGGTTATATATTAATGAGTGATATTTTTAATTTATAGTAATAATTACCATTTTAATCATGAAGTTTTGTGTGGTTTCATTAAAAGTAGCCAAACTCCTGACGCTTATTATTTCATTGCAACCATATTTAAACAGATAATACTGATCTTCGGGACACATATTCCCGAAACCAGTAATACTTGTGGTAAAGTTTATGACATTTTGTATATCATTTTCAGCCATTTGTAATAATCTATTAACAAATTTTGGCCGATTCTCGATTTGGTATATATTTTTAGGCAATGGACTCATGAAAACAGTGGAAGCATTGATTACTTCTGATATCCGGCAAAACTCCAGTTGTTTTAAGCCGTTATAATCGGTGAGCGGTTTGAGTATTGGGACTAATGCTGTGTCTGTTTTGTTTATTTCTATCAATTCATGTGAGAAGACATCATCACTGCTATCGGTATTGCAATCACTATCAATGATACCATCAATCAGTTCCCAAATATCGTCTTGACTTTCATCTGAAAGTGATGTCAAACCACTACTACTCGTAATACTATTACTAATACTATTTGATTGCGAATTATCTGACTTTTCTAACAATGAATTTGTAGTGATTTCTGGTCTTTCTTTTCGTTGGATTATTTCCTGTTTTTAAAGTTATAATATGTAATAAATATTTGATTTAATATTTGATCTAGTTTATTTATAATCTTACTTTTCTCATTCCCATTGTAAAACATTTTTCAATTCTACACTTTTGACATTCAGTTCTTGTCTTAACACTTATGAGACAATTATCGTCTAAAATGCACACAAATTTCTAAGGAAACAAATAAACATTTAGTAAATTATATATTAAAATCTTTATTAAATTAATACAAAACCTTTGATTTAAACGCATTTCGTCTAAAGAATGCTTTGCAAGACTGGCAACAAATGGCACCAAAATTTCGGCCTTTAATCCAATCAGATATCAAGAATTTATTTAAAATTTTTTAAATAGTAATAAAAAACATTACTTACAATAAGCCTTATCTCCGCAAATCTCACACACTTTTGGCGCATTATTTACTTTCATTTAAATATTAAATAAAATGTTTTAAAATACTTTTTACAAAATAAGTTAATTTCTAAACAGTAACATTCAATAACAAATGATCTAGTTAATCTTATTTTTTACTGAACAATAGTTGTTTTATTTTATTAATTATTAAAAAAATATTAATTATATAAAAGTAAAAGTATAAACACCAATTGCACTAGAATTTGTATTTATCACCAAATTAAATCAATTTGTTGCTAGATGACTTTACAAAAAATAAAACTTTCCACTTATAGTTGTGCGTTAATATGAGATAACCTCCAATTCTTACGCATGTACAATGCGATTGTTACAAACTCTCTAAACACTTATGATAAAACTATTATTATTGTATAAAATTCCACTAATTGTCCCAGTTATTAAACTCTGTAAATTCTTTAAATATAAATTTATTCCAAATTAAATAACTAAATTACTTAATTAATAAATAATTTAATTAAAAATAAATGTAAAATAATATGGGAATCTTAAAAGTAATCTAGTTAATTTCGGGACTTAGTTGGACATTGAAAACAAAACAGAAATCATTAAAATTAGTATTTTATAAGCTAGATAACTTACCATGATAACCTATTTTTCTTATCACTAGGTATTGAGTTAATAGACATTTCTGATACATATTAGTAATAGACTATCTAGGTAAAAAATAAAGTAATGCTCAAAAATGATACCTGAACTTTAACCCATATTTTTAATTTATAGTAATAATTACCATTTTAATCATGAAGTTTTGTGTGGTTTCATTAAAAGTAGCCAAACTCCTGACGCTTATT